CACTGGTAGACCAGGCAATTCATCCGGAAATACGTCTGAAAAGTCTCGGACTACTGGAATCTCTTGGATACAAACTTCCTTCTTGGGCTTACCTAGTTAGATAAAATACAAGATTAAGGCACTGGGAATTAAAAAAACTTGTCATCAGGGAAAATCAGTACTGAATGATTTTATTAACTTGTAAATGGCTCCTCGTTGGGAGGATTAAATACAACCTTTTTGTTAAAGCAGTCTATGGTGGCGTGATACGCCGCTAGCCAATCCATTCCTAGGATTACATTAAAATCCCCCGTGTCTAACCCTATCAGGTCTACCCTCAGTTTCCTATCTGCTATCTCCATGGCACATGCCCTGTAGATAATCTCTCCTAGCAATGTCTCTCCCCCAGCGGTAGATACAAGCAACAATGAACCAAGTCTATCAGGTGATACACAAATTTTGGAAGCAAGAACATGTGAAACAAAAGAATGTGATGCAGCAGTGTCAAACAAAACATGAGCAATGTGGCCAGATACAGCATACATACCATGTACCACGTCCGGGTCTGCGTCGGCATCCTTCTCGGTAAGGTTATAAACTCTGCCCTGGATTGGAGGCCTTCTTTGATTCTAGTTCCTCGGGCATTCCCTTGCATAATGCTGGGCACTGCCGCATATGCGACAGGTGTTGCTGAGGCAATAGCAGGGTCGGTCCCCGTGATCCCTGCCGCAGTGCTGGTAGATCTTCCCACGTGCTGCCCCCGTAGCCTGAGGAGGGGCCTGGATGGCGGGTCTGGGCCTCTTACTAGGTTGGACAGGCACGGTAGGTGCTGGCCTGCGGAGCGGGGCTGAGGGTCGAGAACTCCTCGTTAGCTGAGGGTGGGTGTCGAAGCTCCTTTCTATGATTTGCGCTTTTGCTAGGACTGCTGAATATGTCTCGAGCTCCATTACCAGTAAGTGCTGTCTAATCTCCGAGTGGAGACCCCACTGGAATTTCCTGGCCTTTCGGCCCTCATCCATCAATGTCTCCGGGGCATATCAGCCCAGCTCCAGGAACTTACGGGCATACTCCGACACTGTCATGTTTCCCTGGACCAATTGAGCAAACTCCATTTCCTTCAGGTGTCGGATGTGTTTAGGGAGATACTCCGCGTGGAAGGCAGCTAAGAACTGCTCCCAAGTAGCTGGTGTAGGCAGGGTGGTCCGCTTGAGCTCCCACCAGCGTACTGCTTCCCCTACCAGCATGTAGGAGGCAATGGCAGCCCTCTGCTCAGGAACTACTCCCAAGGTCTTAAAAGCTCTCTCAGTCTCTGCCAGCCAGTATTGGGCCTCTTCAAAAGAGGATCCCCCTGCAAAAGTAGAAGAGTTCAGTCTTCTGTACCTCTCTATGAAGCCGGGGTCGATCAAGGAAGGAGCGGGGTCCCGGGGTAGAGGGACTGGGGCCGGCTGAGGGTGAACTGGGGGGCCCTGTGGTGGCACCTGCTGATGTGGTGGGGGTACTGGAATGTGCTGTGGTGGTGCCTGGTGGTACCGTGACTGGGGTACCGGGTCGTACCGCGGCTGTGGTGTCGGGTGGTACTGTGGGAGAGCAGGCTCCTGCCGGGGTGGCTCGGGATCAGCCTGCTGTAGCGGGGGCTCGACCTGCGATAGCGGAGGAGGTCCGGGTAACTCCTTCTCTCCTCTCGCTTTGCTGGGCAGCTACGAGAGCTTCCACCATCTCAAATAGTCTGTCTAAATCCTCCCGAAGCGAGTTATCTTGGGCCGCTCGGTTTAGTGGGGGCATTCCTCTCTCATTTTCGTGTACCTGTATTCACAAGGAATGGTTGAGTAACGATCTATCGGTGAGTATTTCTATAAGGCACTATTGTGTAAGGGATGGGTCCGAGGAAATGCGGCTCTGATACCAACTGTAACAGCCCCGGAAATTTAGAATTGGAAAGGTATATATATAGATAAATAATCTGAATTTGCGGAAGCGTATTAAACATTGCAATTAACATCCCTTACACTAAAACAAAAAACGTGCTCAAAGTATAAAAGAACAAACTAACTAAAAGAGAAACTCGAAAATAAAAACTATAAATATAACTACGGAGTCTTTAGGCGTTCCCTTCGCCGTCTTCCTGCGGAACGGGCTCGGGAACAATGTCTTCCTGATCTGAAATGGTTAAATAAGGAATGAGCTACACCAGCCCAATAAAGACATCACACTATCTCACCGCCACGGAGGTAAATGTTGGTAGAAAACACAAAAAGACCAATGGAGCATAATTTATAACAAATTCTTTTATCAATAATAAAATCCTTTACTGTCCACTTACCTCGGTGAGATTCATAAAACAACATATGAAAGCAATAACATTATCATCATCATGAAATCATATGAACTTTATAACATAACATACATCACACCTTTACATTTCAATCATCAGAAAACAGATTTCATCTTTTACCAGCCTGACTAGATATCCTAGGAGATGGTGGACGGACCGAGTCCGTGGGGAACCCTACTGGGATTGTGGTCTCTCATACCGGACGGAGTATGGAGACCTTATGTGTTTTGGCGCCCATACCGGACGGAGTATGGGGACGGCCCGTTTCACCCTCATACCGGACGGGGTATTGAGGTTCATAATTTTAGCGCCCATACCGGACGGGGTATGGGGACGGCCCTGGAATCAGGTTATAAATGTTAAGGGTTCACGGGTAGCGGGACCCCTATGGATCCCCATGGATACTAGTAGGCTGGTAAAAGATGAAATCTGTTTTCTGATGATTGAAATGTAAAGGTGTGATG